TTCAATAATGTAACTGTCTCTACATACTGTATATACGTCCATGTGTTCTTTATATTCACATCATTGTTAAGCATTGCATCCACTAGTGGGCAGAGCAGAGTTCGAGAGTTCCTGAGAACAAACATGGCGACACTGGTGGAGGTTGTGTTTCTTAAAATGAGCCTAAAGCAGATTATTTTGTCCCCGTGCCCATGTGCAGTAACACTAGTCTCTCCTCGCAAACTTTTATCTGTTTCCTCCGTGACCCTAAGTTTTCAGAAGATGTGCATGTGGGACAAAATGAACATATTGTGCAGACAGAAACCCCTAACCCTAACCCCTAAGTATAAATGAGCCTTAACCCCTAAACCTCATTCTAAAGCTATAACCAAGTCCTAACCCTTGAGTTGTGAGGAACACCCACATAATTGGCCTCACAACTTTTGAAAGACAGATACACATACGCACGCACACACACACACACACACACACACCATCAGAAGCTATAGCAACCTCCACCACATGCTACGACAGCTGTAATGACGGTTTTGACCTGGCAACCCGACACAGCCTCCAACAGCTGCTGATGTCTGAACTTGTCACCATGGGGACGGGGTTAAGAACTAAACAACCCAGCAGAAGAAGAAAGAATGCTCCACATCATTGGATCATTAGTTCAGCTTTCGTCAGTTTGTAACTTGTTCTTCCTGCAGCTGCCAAGTAAAATCCTGGCATTACTTCACCGTGGTGGTATTTTTGTTTGATAACTTTTATACATTTCTGTACAGTCTTAGTCTTAAAAATAAAATAAATAAAATAAAAAATGATCGTAATCAGACACTAATACTGTTTGAATTGAAATTGGAAAAATCTTGACAAGCTGTGCATGACATCATGTATTTTATGCTACTGTACATGATGCTATCAGCTTGTGAGAGGTTGTGATCCTCCGTGTGAATGACATACGCACGTCTTCCTTATTAAAGCTAGGGTTGGTTATCCCGGAAAATCGAGCAAGAGCTGGTTCCACTTTGAAAAAAATGCAATCGATGCATCCCAGGCCCTCTCATCAAAACTGCCAGAAGCCGACTTTTCTGTAACTCGCTCACCAACTTCCGAATATCGTATCTGCTTCAGCAGTCTGTGCCAGCCAATCAAGATTCTAGATTTAAAAGATCTTTATAGACATCATACTCGGGGACAATGACGTTGTGTGAGGCCTCTCTCTCCAACATATCTCTTTATAGAAGTGTAAAACTATATAGAAATATAATATGAAAAACAACAATAGTCCCTGAGGATGCAGTGTGTCTGGGTTGTTCAAAATATAATTGAATTCGCTCCAAATGTAGCCAACAGACAACTTTATCTGTTGTTGGCTGTAACCATTTTCAGAAACAACTAAACAACACTACCTTTAACATCTCTTGTTGATATTACTGTGTGTCTGTCTGTTATCTTAACTATACTATCTTGAACTACTTCACCACACTGTTGCTGTGCAAAGAAATGATTCCATACTCAATATAGGAATATATATTGTGGGGATATGAACTGCATCAAGGTTAACAATTAACCTCCATAAATATACTTCATGGACACAGTGGCATCTGTTATCGCCACACTTTCATTGAATATTTAACACTAACACTGTTTCTTTGTGAATGTGCGAGACAGGCAGATTGTGATTAAATTGCACATACAAGAGTATGTGTCATTCCTGGCATAGATGTGTGTCACGTGCATTTTATCTGTGCATGTGTGTGTTTGTGATTGCCCACCCCTCATCATGTGGATCAGTTGTGTGTAAAGCACCTAGCCTGAGGGGTGAGGGTAGCCAGGTTGTGTAAATAAATTAAAGCAACAAATTATGTTTAAAAGCTTCTCCCTCAGGCCAGGAAAAACTAAGATCCATTATTCATGGCTCTTACTGCCGGGAATCTAAAGGCAGGTGTGTGTCTCTGTGTGTGTGTGTTTTCTATATATTTTTTTGTCAATTATTCCAAGATAACCGCCCGTACTCCATTAAATCATCTTGTTGATGAAATTGAATACCATCTACATTTTGGTGCCCGTAATGAAATTCACAACAATGGATGTTGATCTTCAGTTTGTTCGGTAAAAAGATAGCTGACACAGCAGTTTTTCTTTTGTGTCTTTTAAACAGGCTGAAGAACACTCGTGTTTTAAAGCATTTCAAAGACATGTGTGCTGATATTGTCTTTTTTCTGAAGGTTAAACACTTTGTTGGAGTTCTGGGATAAACCGTGTATTTGAAACGTATAACCGTGGAGAAGCACTACACAGGGGAGCTGCAGGAGTCTCTTCCAGGTCAGATGAGTTATAATTCTGCCAGCACGCCCTGGCCGGTACAAGGATACAGCCCAGCATGTTGTCAGTACAGAGACCTTCTCTAACAGGAGCCTTCTTTACATGTCACCACACCTTCCTCTCTTTTTCTTCTCTGAGTCTGTAGTGCACCCAATATAGATAGAAAGTATTCATATATATCTGGTAAAACTACATGTTGCTTTTTAATACATTTTATCGATTGTATTACATTTGTACTGTTTTTAGAAATGTAAGTAGTAGTTTTGTAATTATGAGTTTTCATATTTTTTATATACACATAAAATGTATATTGACTTTATAGGAGATTATTATTCCTTGATTTTAATTTCACCAGCCTGAATTAAGCATAACTTCTATAACTTTTTTTATCTATTATTATATTATACTTTGCACATGTGTTTATCGATGTATGGGCTGAGTGAAATATATTTGTTACATTATAATTGTATAATGTGAATGAGTCATCAAGAAAACAGATGTCTATATTTCACAAAACATCAAATAATTCCTCTCCTTTTTCCTGTTAAATCCAGTTTTACCCATAAATCTTTACTAAACCATTGTCTGTTCATTTGCTGCTCATTTACTTAAACTGTAATTAGACTGGGGGGTGAGAATAAGAGCATATTGTGTTGTTTTCAAAAATCAAAGCCTTGACTTCTCATCCATATCTCCAGAGATAAAAAAAAAAGATATCTTTATTCAGGTTTTCGCTCATGACAAGAATCCTGGGTAACCTGATCTTCAACAGGCAGTTATACCAGCAGACATCTTGTGTAATAAGAAAAACTGCCTGGTATGACTTCAATTAAAACCTCTTGCTAAGCAGGGTGCTCAACAGATGATAATGTATAATGTGATGTGATGTAATTTACTGATCAACTCCCTGTGCAGTCATAGAGATTTTCTGCCACACTGGTATCATCACTACAATGTGGTTAAAACCCATCAGAGCCGTAATAAAGTTATGATTGCATTGTTATTTAATTTAAATTTAATGATAACGTCATTACACCAGCAACACAGTCCCGCAGTACTGATTGCAAGACGGCTCATTTTAATTAAAAATGAATCTTATTTACATTTAGTAAATTATACAATTCAATCTATTTGAGCCAGAGGACAATAATAATCAGAGAGGAAGAGGAGGAAGAGAGTATGTCTGTAGTAGTGAGGATGATATCCAACATTCATTGGGATCAAGTTTTTAACTTGGACTTTTACAAAGATTTACAGTTTTGTATATCTTAATTGTCAGATGTTTTTTAATTGTCCAACCAATCTTGTCCAACCTTCCATTAGACCATGTGTGTGTTTTCTTACAATTTAAGAATGCTAATATATTTCCACAGTGTCCCAGGATGCAAAAACCTCCCACTCTGATCATTTGTATTTGTTATTCCTGTTGTTGCCCTGGTTGCATGTTGGAGTGCTGTGCTTATTTGAGCCTGTATGAGGAGCTCATGTATCTTGCTGGTGATCTTATACCCAGGCTCCATTTGTTCAGCCCTGTATTTTTTTACTGCAAGTATTACATTCCTTCTTATCTCAATATGAAACTGCGGTATACTGTTTTCTCTCTGTCACCCATCATCATCTACTTCTCATATTCCATCTCCCTGTTGGAGTCACCCAGTCTGATACAGGAGGGGCCCACTACAGGGGCCTTATCTGCTCCATGTCTGCTGCCTCCCAACATCACTGTTCATCTTCCTGCCCGACAGGTTGTTGCTGTTGGCTCATAACTTGCTTCATGTTGACATGAGGAGCTAAGTCATTGTGGAGCAATGATGAAAATAAACCCATGAACCCCAAAAAGACTGTTATGATGTCCCTGTCCTTATTTAGTCCTTCAGATAGTATCATATATGTCTTATATATTGGCCCTAAAATCAATAATTAACTGTGAGTTTCCAGGACAGTTGTCCATTTGTTCATTCTGACCAGCTGATAAATAAAATCTATCCGTCCATTATCTATACTGCTCATCATTTGAGGGCCATAGGGTGTTGGAGCCAATTCCAGCAGAGTCAACATTAAACCTGACACATCTGGAATGTGGCAGGAAAAGGAAAGTACCTGGAGATAATTCACTATAGAGTGTGGATTACCAGACCTGGACCCATAAGGATATTCAGGTTCTGGTTGGGTTCGGTCGTGTTGCTGCTGTCTACTTGACTATCTTATGCTGCATGTGCAGAATCTTTTGCATCTCCCTCTAGCTGAGAATTTGATTGGGATTCAGAGGGAAGATGAGTGGATCTATAAACTGCCACACACTGGTTCTATCCCATTTCTTCACTGGAAAAAAACCCAGGAATCTTTCAGACAACTTGGAGCCTAGAGTCCATCAGGTCCTGTAGCTGGCCACTGGGTTCCAACCCAGAACCTTCTAGCTGTGATGTCACGGTGCTAACCACTGGACCACTATGATGACTTAAATTTGTGTTTGTTGGAACATGATGGTACCTAAGAGAATCTCCTCACAGGCTAGTGATGTAATTCAAAGAGGAATAATTTTGATATGGACTTTTACTAAGTAACATGTCTTGGGTCTAAAACCTACTCAGATGCCTCTACTTGAGATTCTCCGGAAAACGTCTGCCTTCAGCTCACAAGATTTCCATCAGTCAGAGAAGAAACTGAAGCCAGGAGTTTAAATTAAATTGGCACTTTTTAATTCATCAAATCATCCAGTGAACGACAGACAGACAGAAAGAATTATTGCTGTGAAATATTTTACATGCTGATCCTCCCCTTCCAGGCTTTCTACTTTCTGTCTTCCTCTTGTGTAAGACACACTCGTCCCCTTTTTGCCGCCTCGTCCTAGCTCCAGCTTCTTCACACTCGTCTGTTATTGTCCTCTCTTAGGAGTCTTCTCTTTTAGAGCTCCTCAGATTGGAAGGCTGAGAAAATGAGACATTCATCAGTCCCTGTAGTCCATCAATCACAGTTGCCGCAGGTATAAATGTTTAGGGAGGAAGAATGATACACTTACAAACTACTGATTGAAAATATCTCACAGAGAAGAAACATGATCTTTACATGCAAAAACAACAAAAGGCATTTTTCTTTGCTGATATTACTGAACCTAACAAGGGATGAATATCAGACTGCCTGAGTTCAGGGATGATTCTCTCTTTTCTTTGTTTTGGCCTTAAACCTTCTACTGGACATTAACTTCTCTGTCCCTTGCAGTTACTATCATTCTTACTATCAGTCAATGAGAGCTATTGTGAAACACATAGGGTGAAACACAAATTTGATGGAATATTGTTTTTTATAATCGAATAAAGAGGCTAATGTTAAAAGCTTATTTTCTTACTACAGTGTTTGCACAATTTTACGGGTTAAAAGGTCAAAGGATTCATTCTAACTCAGTAAGTCAGTGAGTGATTACATTCTGACAGCTCCAGCATTACTACTATTATCTGCACAGCCTGGGTTATCATGACGACATCTGGTTATTGCATATGAAAGGAGTTTGAGAAAAGATGTATAGTTCTCTTTATATACACATGCATACATTTACATGCTGATTATTTATTCTGAGTATTAAAAAATGTGTCACTCGTGATTTGTCGCATGTAAATGTCCTGAACAAGAGGTTTTGTCAGATAAACATGGACGGGTTAAGAAACAGCAGGATCCTGACCAGAACATGCTAAAATGACTGAAGCTGCTTTCAGACTGACAGTGAAGTCAAAAACATTTCCCTGAAATTATCCAGAACACAATTGTCCATTTCTAGGGATATTCTTGGGATTTGAGAGCTTTTGACGATGAGGGTCGATGCTGGTGTGAATGTGCTGTAAACAAAAACGTGATTCCCGCAGCTGAATTTAAACGTCATTTCCTGCCTCCCACATTTTTTACTCAGTCTTCGGCTGCCTTCTTCATATGTACTTCAGAAAATGTCTGGACCCAGTTTTGCTTAAATTTTCTGAGTTCATGTCTAAAATCAGTCTGAAAGAGACTAAAATTACTTGATTTGATTACATTCTCCAAAAAAGACTGAGTCATTTAAAACAGAGGTCGTTGAGCAGGAACTCTCAACACCTTCGGCCATTGACCCCTGATAGGCTGGTTCAGTAATCCATCCATGAGTTAAAGCATTTTATTCAGGATATTTATTATTAATCGTCTTCGTCGCTGGATGGTTTAATGGTGTGAGGTGATGCTCTCTTACATGTGAGGGTTTCAGTTAGCTGATGAATACCTTCCTCCTCATCATCAGGAGCTACCAGACTAGCCGCAAACGTCCATATCAACTCCAACCAATCGGTGCTCTCCTGAGCTGTGACTCCTGCAGGGACTCCGGCGGGGCCTGATCTGAGTGGACGAACACCGCCTGAACAGAATAGAATAAATAAATATATAAATGAATAGACCAGAATTTAAAAGAAGAAAAAGTATAAAGTGGTATTTGTATATAAACTAAAACTAAAAAAGTTAAATCACACATTGAAACATTTTTTATTATAAAAGTTAATTATTGTTATTATTTGAAATTATTGAATATAAAATGAAGTAGTTAGGGCTTGCCTCTGCCTTTCAAACCTCTCTTAGCGATGGCAGAAGGAGGGGGGAGACCTGATGGGAAGAGACATTGAGCATTAACAGAGGCAGCGTCTCTGTGTAGGATTACAGGAAGAAGAAGAGAACATTTAGATAAAGATAAAAAGGTCATACAGAAGAACAATGAGCAGGGGCTCAATGCATTGCTCCAAAAAAAAAAACAATATCACACACAAAACATGCAGTAGAAGTTTGGACTCATGTTGAATGAGGACACAGCAAGACACAGCAACAACACGAGCAGCTCGCCTGCAGCATTTCAACATTCATCATACATTCAGCGTCCAGTCAGATTTTGCCATAATCTCAATCAGCGAATCAGGTCGTTGCTCTCAAACTTTAAATCTCCTCCTCGCCTCCAGTCTTCTTATCCAGTGTCCACTCATCTCATTCAGATCCACACCCTCCTCTAGATCCCTTCTTACAACAGTGTCTCAACCTTGTGGGGATTCCTTTACTATGCAGCCTCCCTTTCAACCTCAATGACATCACAAGGGGTCTAAGCACCAAGTAGACTCTTATTCTAGTTTTATCAGTTTCATCTGTCATTGTGCACAACAACACATTTTGTTCAATTTTCAATTGAAGTCGATCGTGTTTCAACTAATATTTCCTCCACTGACATTGTCTGTAGCATTAGGTGGTGTCCCTCACTACTACGTATCCATTGCAGCAGAGAAAATTATACATTGTAACCACGTTGTATATGTGTATGCAGAGTCTAGGAATTGTATTAATGGTCCTATGAAGGCCTAATAAATTATTTGCTCATGTGTCAGAGAAGTTTCTGATTTTGCCAGGTTGGTGATTATCCCCCTCCAGAGAACATTTGGCTTCAGACCTTCTAGAGAACAGCTGCAGAACATCTGGAATAAATTTGACTATTTAAAAAAAAAATCACATTTAAAAGTGCAGACTTGAGAGGTAATTATACAAAATAATAATTCATCATAAATGAATGACTAGCTTTTCTTATTGGCTTATTAGACATTGAGAAACGTGTGATTACATTATATATACCTGCAGACTAAATTTAGAAAGTTACGCTCATTACACTCAATTAACGATTTCATTAATAACTCAACCACTGATAAATCATCTCCCATGGATATCTTTCTCAAACTCCAGAGATATTAATTAAAAGTTATTGCTGCTGCACTTGTTTAATGTTGTATATAAGTATAAATAAAGAAATAATGTAGATAAAGAAATAAAAGCATATAAGATAAGTGATAAATAAATGAATGTACAAATAAATAAATGTCCCGTTACCTTGAAGTACATCGTGGCTTTCTCTGGGTTTGGACATTGCTGGAAACATTTTTGGATAATGTAAGTACACAAGTCAACAACATATATAACATGCGTCTTTAGACATTTTAATGTTTATAAATCATATTGTAATCTGTTGTATATGACAACGCCTGTTGTCAGAGTCACGTCCCGGCTCATGGTGTTAAAACAAACTGTGATCATATCGCCGCCGCTCCAGTGACGGCGTTTTGCATCTGTCTCTCCGAGGAGCACGTGAATTAGCACATTCATTGTTCCTCCGTGAGCATTGTGTTAACTCTGGGCTCTGAAGTGCTAAATGTATTGTTTTGGTCGTCTCTGCAGATCTCTTTCATTTCCCAGCATCCTCTGCCTGTTTGTTGCCCAGTGTGCAGGAGTCATAATGAAGCCTCATAAACATCTGATTAATGCACTGACATTTCTTTGATTGGCACTGCAGACTTCAGCGCCACAGACACCAGGAATAGAACGCACCCCTACCCCCGACTCATCCACCCTCCGTCTCTCTATGCTTCTATCTCTAATTCATCCCGTGTCCCTTTTCATCTCTCTTATCTCTTCACATCTATTTTCTCCCATCCTCTGACTTTCATGTTCCCATCCCGTGTCTTCTCTTCATGTTTCTTGCTCTCATGTCTTTACGCTCTCCCTCTCTGCCGTTGTTTCTTTTTTAGTTTGGCGTAGTTAAGCAGCTACATCAAAACCGTGCGACGCAAAGAAAAGAGATGAAAGATACAAATTGAGGAGCACAGATTAGAAAAAAAGAAAGAAAGACCAAATGGACTAAACCTGCGGAAATAAAAGCTGGAAGAATATCATCTGAGCAGAAGATAAGAGAAGATAAATTATACACAGTTCTCTTTCTGTCTTATACCCTCCCCCATGGAATCCCATCTTCGTCCCTTACTTGTTTTCTTGACTCCTTCCTTACTTCTCCTCTCCCCTTCTTCCTTCCTATCCATCTTTCTTTCCTTCTTCCTTCTTATATTTCTCTTTTATCCCTATTGTTTTTCTATCTCTCTCTTTTCCCTCTGTCTCTTTTCTTATTTCCTTCCTCACTCATTATTCACTTTTTCTATTTTTTCCTGTCCTTTCCTTCCTGATGATTTTTCTTTCTGTCTTCCTCTTCTCATTTCCTCCCTCATTTCCTCCCTCATACCTTACTCATTTCCTTCCTTTCATTCCCTCTCTCCCTCCTCCTTCCTGTATGTCTCTTTTTTCTTCCTGTTATTCTTTCTCCCTGTCCTTCTTTCTTTATGTGCTTCCCAACTCTTTGCTCACTTTCATCCTTCTTCCTCCTTCCCTTATGTCTGTTTTTACCTTCCTGGTTCCTTCCTTATTTCCTTACTCACTTCCTTCCTTTCTCCTTGTCCTTCATCCCCTCTTTCTATCTTTACTGATGCAGCTTACAGGAGAACGATATTGTGGACATGTGGTATTATTCAGTTTAACGTCTGAACTAACATTTCCAACTCTCTCAGTCCGAGTAGTTTTCACCTTTGTGTCTTTGACAGAGGAAGAGTGAACAAGACTTTGATGAGGTGACAGATTAAACTCTCTTCGTCTTTGTCTCTCAACCACCTCTGCTCCTGAATGACTGTATTTTCTAAACATTATGTCTCCATATTTCTTTAACTGTAACCTTCTCTCCACAAACACAAACACACATCTGTGATTTTTCACAAAAACGAGAATTGTATTTCTTCTTAATTGTCCAGAAATGTCTCCTTGCTGTTTCATTTACACAGACTGCCCTTTATTGAAATGTCATGGCGGGAGAAAAGCCTGTGATTAAAAATGCAGCAAAGCATTTTGTCATTGTCAACTTGCAAATATTTGCCTCAGGAAATGGAAGATAACAACGATGTATAGGGGGAATTTCCCTTTTATGGGCATGCCCACCTCAGGTCAGAACGATTCCCAGCCTCCAGGGAAGAAATGTTTTCATGACTTAGAGGGAGAACTTGTCGCTTTTATTGATCGCACTCCATGATATGTGGGTGATAAGAATCATCCTCACACAGGAAAGCTGTATTCCATTTTCTCTCTTTAAGTTTGCTTTAATTATATTTTTTAGCCACATCAACTTCAACATATTTGTCAATGTCAGTGAACTTAAGACAATAAATCTGCAAAATTGCTCAACTTATTTAATATCAAATAAATAACCTTTCATGTCAGCAGATTTACTGTTATCATGAGACACAACAGAACCTGGATGTCTATTTTAAGCATCACACACAACTTCCTTTGTTAGTCAGCAGCTCACACACACACACACACACACACACACACCCACACACACACTCACACACACACACACACACACACACACACACACACACACACACACACACACATCTCCATGACTTCAGAGGTCGTTACATTGACATTCAGTAATTCCCTGGATAATTATCTAACCTTAAGCTTAACTACTTCTTACCTAAGCCTAACCATAAAGCGACACTTAACCAAAACATTTTATGATGAGCACTAGATTTATATCTTGTCTTGTACCTGAAACAGACACACTGTCACACACACATGCAATTCCACGCCATAATGCAGCACACATGTTGAGGTATATATCATGCACTTAAAGAATGGGATTGAGAATATACAGACTGGTGAGAAATTAAATGAAAACCATAATAAGAGTGAAATATTACAAATGTAGATTAATTCCAAATGGTCACTGAGCGGTTTGTTCATTTCATTAAAATGATATGAATCATATGCGAGGCCTTCCCAGTTACCAGATCTCAATTAACCCATTTGGACACCTCAGGGATGTTTTGGAGCGATGTGTTGGACGCCGCTCTCCACTTATCATGGAAGCACGAAATGAGGGAAAATACTGTTCATCTATAATATCTACTTAATGTTTTATCATTAATTTGTCATCCATCTGTAGATCAACACTTGATAAACAGCCTGTTAGTGCCAGACACTAGAAAACAAACAAAAGGTAAATGAAGAAAAGATTCTCAAAAGGCAAATCAACCCTGAATCACTTTAGCTGGTGTAAGCTAATCACACCAAGGTCAAGAATGTTCTTTCTATGCCCAAATGTCTCTTTTCAGGAATAACCAGAGCAAAAACATTTCAGCATTTTTAATGATATCAGTCTTTCCAACTGAATCACTCAGGGCACAACTTTTCACTGACGACCAATATCAAGTCTTAACAGCGTTGACCTTTACAGGTTAGAATAGCCATTAGAAGAAGGAGGCATCTCTTTCAGAGGCTGCTGTTGAAGACTGATTGCGTCATGGTGCGACGAAGCTTTCCAATTTCAAAGGTTCCTTCAAATGAGGCAGCTGCATGCATCTTTTCATCGCTGAGCCATGAAGGCCCCAACAGGTGGATCCCACGATTCATTGCCCTTTGAGGGCGAATTGTTTTCCAAAGAGATAATGGCAGAGGCAAGTGATGTGATTAAAAGGTCCGATGCTTACACTTTTAATTCTAAGAATTAGGCTTCAGCTCAACCGAACATCTTACGGTAGACTAAACTTTGTGTCTTTTGCTGGGCTTGAGCAGTAACGGCATGAAAAGCTGGGGAGGCAAATGACGTAAATGGTACATGGACCAAAACATCTCATTTTGGTTTGACCTCTTTGGTTTACTCAGCCCACGAAAGTAATGAAGAAGGCAGCTCCTGAATTAGGACACAGCTTCTCTAAAATGGTGGAAGCTATTATACCATATTTGCCTGTTCACTTGTATTATGGTTTAGCTGCTTAACAAAACAGGCAGGATAAATTACAGACTTTGCTGTGCACGGTTTTCTTTCCGAACCATAAAGCGGTTAAACTGTAACTCGTTGCTCTGTGTCAAACCTTCAAGCACCTTGGCTCCACCCAAATAAGTGATATGAGGGATGAGAGCTGATGTTGAGCTTTTGACAGCTGGAGTAAACATGCCGGTGGAAGGTTTCATCAAATGTACACTGCTTGGTTTTGTCGTGATTTAGAGTTGATTTACGCTTGAAAAGGTCAAACAGAGCCTCACAGTTTGAAACGATGGACACACTGTCACAGGCATCGTTCTAGTGCGAGCGAGCGGTGCAGTTAAAATGTTAGTAGTTTTTTGGGGTTTTCTTTTTTACCAGGAGATAAACACACGGGGTCGTCACAGTATGATGTGTAGTCTTTGGATGGGATGGCAGGTGATTGACGGCATGAGGATGGAGGAGAGGTGAAGGGGTGAGGGTTGGGGGATGAAGAAAGGAGGAAAATGAGGAGAGGCGTTAAAGATGAGCGTGTCGGATGTGTCAGGCAGGACCATCCTTTGCACCGCAGGATGGTCCGAATTCATGGTGATGTGTAGTAGGTGTGGGAGTGATGAAGAACAGATGTGAGAGGAAGTGACAGAAAGGTTATTATTACAGTAAATTTACTGAGCGCTGAAATACACCTCAGCTTCAAGACCAAATCAAAAGTGATTGATTTTCTGTTGTGTGGTTGGAAGATCGGAGGCAGTTTGATTTGTGTGTCCGATCTATTTTGATCACTTCAGTATATAGCTGTGAAGTGTTTTTCTAATATAAATAATTTTTGTTTAAGTGTGTATCAAACAATTGTATCAACTAATAACCTTACATGCATGGGGGGAAATTTCTTAAAGTACACTGGACGCAATCCTTTAAATTCCTTC